GATCATGCTCTTGTGCACATTAAATGTAATTCAGCTAAGTTTTAGGTCTGAAAATCGTTTATTAATTTTGGATTAATTTTGTATAAATTATATAAAAATGATTATAAATTATAAAGTAACAACATTTGTAATCATTAAATAAATGTAATTGATGTAAGTTGATTTAGGTAATTGATAAATTATAAATCTAAGTAATTTACATAAACTTATGAGTGTAAGTTGTTAATCTTGTTACTTTGAGTGTAGGTAAACTTATGAGTGTAAGAAAATCCAATAATCTTATGAAGTAGGTAAACTTATGAGTGTAGGTAAACCTAACTTTACATCAAAGTAACAATATTTCTAATTTATCTAAATTTCTAACCATTACATAAATTATGAGTGTAGGTTGTGACTTTATATAAATTATAAAGTATTGGTAAACTTGATTTATACATAAAGAAATTTGATTTATATATATTCGTGACCACGCTTGTAAGTAAAATATGTAAAAACGTATTTTCAAAACACATTTTGAACAAAAAATCAAAAGCAGCACTCACTCTTCTTTGTCACACACACACACACACTCACTCTCTCTCTGTCTCTCTCTGACAGACACACCCACAACGCACTCACATCAAACATATAATTTTTAATATATATAAATTTTATTTTATAAAATTCAGAACAAATAATTTTTTTTAATTTAATTTTTCTTTTGGAATAATTTATTTTTCCAATTAATTTTATTTTTTTTGCTAATGAATTTTTATTTTCAAAGGTGGGGGAATAACTGTCATAACCATAAAGCTAAGGGGGTGTCAGTGTAATTTACCTAAATAAAAATTACATTTTAAGAATTAAAGTAAAAAAATAATCATTTTATATAGTTGATTATTGTTTGCTATTATCAATTATTATTATATATATTTAATATTGGTCTGAATTTTACAAAATAAAATTTATATATATTACAAATTATATATGTTTGATGTGAGTGTGAGTGTTGTGGGTGTGTGTGTCAGAGAGAGAGATAGAGTGAGTGAGTGCGAGTGTCCGTGAGAAACAAGAATGAGTGCTGGTTTTGAATTTTTTGTTGAATTTTTACATTTTACTTAAAAGTGGTTATTATCCACGGATCAACAGTAAAACCGTGGTTTGCAACCACGTTTTATGAAGATAAAAAGAATTACTTAACAAAAACATGGTTATATATAAATCCAATTTCCTTAATCAGATTTACTTTAAAAAATAATTACTTAAAAATTTATGTATAAATAAAATTTCCTTAAAAGCGTGATTTGTAACCACGTTTTGTTACTTAAAAGCGTGGATTGTACCACGCTTTTAAGATTTTACAAATTGTCCGCGGGAGGGCCACAAAAACGGTGAAAGCGTGGTTCGTTTTCGCGTTTTAGCTTAGTTTAGGAATTTTGTCCAAACTAAGCCTACTTTAGGAAATAAATTACTATTTTGCCTTAATTTGGGAAAAGCCCCTAATTTGGGCAATGATTTAATCGTACGCATGTAAATGGTAACAATTTAAAAAACACTTATTTTGAGGATATTTTGACAAATCTTGATCTATTTTTTTAGTATTTCGATAAACTAGACAAATATATCAATAATTTTGAATGTGAAGACATTATGAAGATTCTTCTCTTATTTTTCTATTCATATAATTTTATAGTATAATTTGTATCAAGTATTATATTTATTCAGTGCGATTGGACAAAATTGGACAAGTCATACAAAAATCTTAAATCATAGTGTAACTTTTTCTATGAAATTATTATTTTTTTCATTGAGCTGAAATAACTCAACTGATTTTGTATGACTTGTTCTTAATTTTTATTTCAAACAATGTTCACGTAATTTTTTAAAACTGGTGGTCCAATTAGTGAGATTTAAGGACAATTAAAGAGAAGTTACTTTTATTTGCTAAAGCTTCTGCCATTAGGGACCTTAATGACAAAGTTATTTGGTAGGTTATTTCCTATGAGATTATTCCTTAGGGAAATAACCTCATACGAAATAACGTAGGAAATAACTTAGGGAAATAACGTAAGAAATAACCTAAATAAAAAATTAATGAGCTCTCATAATTTTAAGCAATATAAATAACATAACAAAAAAATTATCGTCCTGAACTGAGTCAAACTTGAGTTTCATTAATATTAATGAGCTCTCATTATGTGTTAAAAATTAGGTATGCTCCTTTCAGGTCTCAAGTTGAACTCTTAGTATGTGTCATGTTTATAGGTATTAATTGAGATTTGTCGAATCTACGTGGAAGGGACGTTTGGTGTGGATTGTAAGATTAGTCCATAAATACGTAAACTGATTCAGACATCCAACTATCATAAAAAATTAAAACTTAATTGAATAAACATAATGCAGGTGCATAGAGAATAAGTCAATTGGATAATTCAAGTGGGTAAAAATTATTGAGAATGAGTCATTTTATAAATCAAATATTTTAATTTTTTCAAACATAAATTTTAAACAAATTTTTTTTATTTATATCAAATATTTTGATAATAGCATTTTCCAGGACGACTTCAAAGGCCTCTTTTGGCAAAGAGGTAAAAAGTCATTTTTTGACTTCTAATTTTTTGTGGATCATCTCTAATGTTTATATCAAATTTTTTGTAAAAATTCATTTATTTATATCAAATTTTCTGACTTCTAATGTTTTGGTAATTTTTTGGCGAGGTAAAAAGGCATTTTTAGTATTTTTTTTACACGTTTTTCCAAAAAAAAATTAAAAAATACAAAAAATTAGCTTTTAACTTATTTCCTAAAACAACCCAAAAAATTGTTTGTATTAGTTATAGTGGCCTAATGATGAAGCTGAAGAGATAAGCGAAAGAATAACAAGATTTAACCATATTGACAAGACTAAGAAGCAATCAGAAATTAAATTTTCAATTCAAAAAATATAGACAGGATTCAAAATTCAAAATTCAAAAACCTAATTTGTAAAAAAATAGATAGGATTCACAGTTCACAATGCAATAAATATATACAGGATTCACAATTCAAAACTCAAATTCCTGAAACCACAACCCTAATTCTTGATTTCACAATTGAAAACCCTATAAAATATATTTGTAATTCACAATCAGAAGAACGTCGTCGACGACCATCTTGGGTTTCACTCAGACTATTCGCGGCGAAGGACACCGCCACCCTCTCACAACTGAAAATTTTCTCCCCTTTCCCTTAAATTTTCTCCTCATTTTCTTTTGGCTGAACTTGCTTTTCTTTTATGCCAAACATCCCCTTATACTTTCCATAATAGAGAAAGAAAAAATGATATAATGATCAGTTGGATCTATGGACTCGGGATAATTAGTACTAGACTAACCATGACAACTTTAAACATAATTCCTTGTAATTCAATTTTGTATGACACTGATATATATTATATGATTCTATTTTTTTTTTAATATATCATAAATATTGTTAGGCTGTGCTTAATTTATTGGAATGAAAATAAAAGGGAATGGCATGATTATTCCTTAAATATTTTTTGATTAAAAAGAAAAATTTGTGGAAAGTGAAAGTGAAAGAAAAAAATAAATAAATAATTTGGAAATTTTGAAAGAAAGGGATAGAAAATTTTGAAATTTTAATTATAGATAATTTTTATATAGACAAAATTAGATTTTCTTGTGTTTTGCCATTTTTTTCCCAAGAAATTATAAAGTTAGTTACGATAATAACATACAAGAAAATTATTATTATTATAGATAATTATTTGTTCCTAAAAAAAATCATATAACATTACTAAAAAAATTAACTTATCATAAATTTCTTAAACCCTAATTTCTGAAACCATAACCGTCATTTCTGATTTCACAATTTAAAACCCTAACCCTAATTGAAAAATGATTTCACATTCATCAATTCAAAACCCTAATTCAAAATCAAAACCCTCATTTATGATTTCACATTCAATTGAAAACCATAACCCTCATTTTCTCATTTCAAACATAATATTTACATTTTTCTAAACAGATTCAACATTCAACATATGTCACATTGAACAGAAATCTGATTTCACATTCAATAGAAATCTGATTTCACATTCAACAGATTTCACAATTATAAACAGATTTCACATTTCTAAACAGATTTCACAAATTTTTAAACAGATTTCACAATTCAAAACCCTAATTTCTCAAACCGTAATCGTAATTTCTGATTTCACAATTATAAACCCTAACCCTAATTTATTATTTTTGATTTCACAACATTTTTCACATTCATGAACCCTATTCTACCAACATTATACCCACATTCACATTTTCACAAACACAAAAAACGCATTAAAGTAGATCAACAGAGAGAGACAGAAGCCATACCAACGAGAGAGAGCACAGAGAGCGATAGTACTGAAGCAGAGGGAGCTCGAGCACAGCGACAGAGAGAGAGCAGTAAGAGCGAGAGAGAGAGAGAGTAGTAAGAGCGAGAGAGAGCAGTAGGCAGCGAGGGTGAATATAACAAGCGTGAATGCAAAACACGGGGCTGGGGAGATTTTATATAAGTTTTAAAAGCGTGGTTACAAACCACGTTTTCATTTAAAAAAAAATGTTATAAAAAAGCGTGGTTAACAAACACGTTTTCAGAAGAAAAGATTTTTTGCCAAAAAGCGTGGTTCATAACCACGTTTTCAGAAGAAAAAAAATGTAAGCTAAAAGCGTGGTTCGTAACCACGATTTCAGAAGAAATTTTTTTTGGTTAAAAGCGTGATTCACAACCGCGCTTTCAAAACAAAAAAAATGTAAGTTAAAAGCGTGGTTCAGAACAACAATTTCAAAAGAAAAAATTTAATTAAAAACGTCTTTTGTAACCACGCTTTCTTAATTAAAAATACATTTTGTAACCACACTTTTAAGACTTCTCAATTCTCACGCAGGACAAGGGTGCATACGTAAACGTTATGAACCACTCGCCGTCGTGCTCAGCCGTCTGAGACCTAGCTCCGCCTGTTCTGATCACCGCCACCAGTGATGGGAAAGAAGTGTAATGCTCCGCCGGAGTGTGTCCCGGACTACTCGAAGGACGAAGCCTATCTGAAAACCGTGATTCCTACACGCATCGCTCTCTTCGAATCCATCAAAGGCCAACAACTCCCTCACCGTCAATCCATCAGCGGCAATCCCATCAAGTACTCATCATTCACCATTCCCCTCAACTATAGTGGCATGTTTGTTTTGGGTGGATATGACTTAGAATTAAATTAATAGAAAAATGTTCAAGACCCACAAAAAAAAAAAAACTTCCACAATTATACCCACATGTGCTGGTAAAATTAATTTTTTTGTAACGATTTTTGTATATGTCGCTAAAAATTGATAGTTAGTGACTTTTTTTTCACACTTTTTATAAATTATCGCTAAAACTTACGGTTTGCTGTGATGATTTTTTAAAAATTGTTGTTTAAAGTTGAAAATTAATGATTTTTTTGTGACACTTTTTTAACTGTCGCTAAAACTTATAATTAGTGACAATTTTTAACTGTTAGTGAAAATTAACAATTAGTGACTTTTTTTTTGTATTTGATGAAAAATGTCATTAATTATCACAAGACTTATTGAATAATAAATCTATCTAAGTCTCCTTAATCTTAAACCCTGTATTTGGTTAAGAAAATTAGAGTTTGATGAAGGGTTCATTTGGGAAGTAGCTTTTTTAGTCCCTTATTTGGCTATACAATATGAGGCTAATAAAGTTGAGTTATTTAGAATGACTTTTTAGTTTTTTATCAAAAAATAAAGGAGAAAGAATGAGAAACAAATCTTTGTCATTAATTTTTTTGCTTTTTGGTTTTTTCATTTTTTTAATTCCTTTTTGACTAATTTACCCTATTGCCAAACGTCCCTTAATAGTAACAGTACGTCTGAACATAGTATTCCATAGGCCATGTTTGTTTGGCGGATTGAATTACAGGGTATTAGCATTGCTAGACTGTTAGTCGTGGGTTTATTAATCCCTTTTGGATTGACTTAAAATTATAAGGAGGGTTTCATAAATCCTATTAATTTTTGTAATTTAATTATTTAACTAATTAGTATAAACGTCTTTTTAGCCAAACATGGGTATGTATTTTGTTGAATTATTAATCCAATCCCAAGGTCATGTGAGTTCAATCCCTAGGGGACTATTGAATCCCAAGAGTGAATGTAAGGACACGTTTAGACTAACTAGTTAAATTGCAACATTAATATGATTTTGTTAATTCCTCACCAAAATGGGATATAGTTTTGATTTGAATTTTTGTTGTTGGAAGGATAATATTGAGGAATGGGAGTGTGAAGGATGGGAAGAAATGGATATCAACTCCACTCGACATTGCGAAAGGGATTTCCAAGGATTGGGGAGAGAATGCGTTGATTTCGAAGGTCAATGGAGTGCTGTGGGACATGTTGAGGCCACTTGAAGGTGACTGCGAACCCAAATTATTTAAATTTGACAGCGATGAAGGTCGCGACACCTTTTGGCATTCAAGTGCTCACATTCTAGGGCAGGTATAAGCTCACATTCAATGTAGTTGGCAAAAAATTTGTATTTGGGTTGAAATGATTTGGTTCTCTTTATGATTTGCGTAGGCTCTTGAGATAGAATATGGGTGCAAGTTATGCATTGGGCCTTGTACTACAAGAGGGGAGGTACATTATATTCTGAATTGTTCACAATTGCATACTTATTAACTAAGATGTATTGCAGTGTAATTTCAATTTTATATTTTTATCAGGAATTTAAGATGATTAACTATTGATCTTGCCATCATCAAGTTCTCGAATATATATATATATATATATTAACCAACATATGATTCAGTTCCTACTTTGTCTGCTACTAAAAAGAGCTCAATGGAAGTCGGAGGGAATTTATGACATGTAATGCGTTGTGTGACGATAGACTGGTCTTACTCTTTAGACACTTGATCAGTGCAGTGCTAGTTTTGCACCAATTTTGAACAATTGTTCTTCACCAATCAGAAACAGCATAATTTGGGCATAACTGTCATACTTTCACTTAATGTAGCTGAATTCTCTCTCTCTCTCTCTCTCTCTCTCTCTCTCTCTCTCTGTTTATTTTTAATAGAAGAACATATGGTAATTTTGTTTGTAGAGAATTAGGGTTAGGTATTAGTGAATAATTTGACTTTCAAGTCTAAACCATGAAAGTTCATGTCTAATTAGATTAAATATGGATTTTTGTTTTAGTTGCAACTACCGTAGATTTTCTTTATGGGGTTTTTGTAATGTAAATTTTTATATGAAATTATTTTTTAAGGTGTTTGTTATTCATGCGGATAAAGACTAAAGAGTGGTATGTGTGATCACTAATCATTATTGGGGAGCTTGATATGCAATCTTGGGTTTGTTTCGTAACCATTTAAGCTTTTGGGACTAATGGTGATCTGACATAGTATTAGAGCTCAAGTTATGAGAGGCCTTGAGTTCAAGTCTCTCCATTTGCATTTGTTTCTGCAATTGTATTATGTTTCTCTACAAGTTTGGAAGTTTGCATCTTCACGCACAAGACAGAGTTGCATGTGAGCAAAGTTTTAAACACAAATATGTAATGCAAGGTGTTTTACCCCTTTTGAGGCGAGATGTAGGTATAGGTGTTGAGGCGTAAGCATTTTTATATTTAAAAAATAAATAATATTTGAAAATCGTAAAAACATATTAAAAATAAAATATAAAGTCTAAATACTTTTTTCCTGAAGACCTCAAATTTTTTATTTTTTATTTTTTGTAAAGATGGAAGCTTGCCTTCATCAAAAGTGAATACAATTACAACATTGTTAGCTTAAATCATCGATTTTCTCATTTAATCCTTAACTTTGTGTTTTTTCTAAGTTAGTCATTTACCAGATTTTTTTTTTCTTTATGGAATGAAGTTACAAAAGAGGTTCTTCTTTTTTATGTTTAAACTATGTATAACAATAGTCCAAAACAAGCTCTCTATGTACGTATTCTTTATCTGCTTATGCACAAAAGGCGTAGAAGGTGTGTAGACTTCCCCGAACGCCCCGGGAGGAACGAGTCCCCCGTTCCGTTCGATATTGGGCTCACTACAATTCGGACTCTCAAATTGTCACAGTTCTAAGTCTGAACCAAAGAGTCCAAATCCGGCAAATCGTTTTGAGAAAAACAGATTTTGAAAGAAGTGCCAAACATGGACTGCTTTGCCAAATACAGAGTCGCCACCTAAATATTTTATTTTGGGGATATTTAGGAAACCCTAACTCGTTTGCCTAAGGCCACGTGTCCGTCATCACCAAAGTTGCCTCGGCTCGGGAACTTGGGTACGATTGGGGAAGGTCACTTCGTGAGCACCCCCGCTCGCCCGATCAAAAAACGGCCTCTACTAACCATGATATCAAATTTTGAAAACATTGTGTGTTCTTATTCCGGTTATTAGCCTAGAATTACTAGTGATGCGTGACATTCCCATACCCGCGGATGGTATGGGAATCCCCCTGTAATAAAAAACAATTGCGAGGCAATATTCAAAACGCAGTTTTAAGAAGCATACAGGAATACAGCATGTGTGCATGTTTTCAAATTCAAACAGACATCGGGTGCCGGTGTACTTACAGTGAACTACAACGTGTGATGCGTCAGCGTGTTTGA